AGAACATTGTCTTTCTGTTTTACTGTCGGAGCGACACCCAAACAATGATCCCAGTATGTCTGAAGGTACGCCTCCATGCTTCTAGGCAACGTGATTTGACGCATGGTATTCCCCCGTCCATACCCAGTGGACCAGTAATTTGAGGGAGAGGGCAAGTCCTTAGCCAGCTTAGACGCACGGGTCTTCCGGCATACAGGGTTCTCGCTACCGGAGGCTACTGGGGACTGCATGACAGTCTCCACCGGGCTCTTCACAGGGGTCTCGCTACCGGAGGCTACTGCAAACATGACAGTCTTCACCGGGCTCTTCACAGGGGTCTCGCTACCGGAGGAAACTGGGAATATGACAGTCTTCACCGGGCTCTTCACAGGGTTCTTGACCGGTCTCTTCCCACCGGAGGCTACTGCAAGCATGACAGTCTTCACCGGGCTTTTCACAGGGGTCTCGCTACCGGAGGTTACTGGGGACTGCATGACAGTCTTCACCGGGCTCTTCACAGGGGTCTCGCTACCGGAGGCTACTGCAAGCATGACAGTCTTCACCGGGCTCTTCACAGGGGTATTGCTGCCTGAGGCTACTGTGTTTATGCCGGAGGTACTTGGGATTGCCAGGCCCTTAAATCGTATACATTCGTCCTCTTCCTCAAGAACAGCAGCACTCTGCTTCCTGGGTTTTAGCTCCTTTTTCAGCCTGGAGCGCAGGGTCTTCACCTCATCATTGAGGGCATCCTTTTGAGCCCTCAATGACACATTTTCCAGCATCACCTGCCTGCAGTCCTCGTTGTCACACTCGGTATGTGGGGAGAAGGGTGGAGGGTGCCCGGGGTATTCCTCCTCATTGTCTATATCCAATGATGTAGCCATTCCAATGATGGGGTTAGTCTCACGGAGGTCATGGAGCAACTGCAGTGCCACACTATGCTTCAGCCTTGCCATGACCTGCTGTGCCTCATGTCGGGACAACTCAGGGTGGTCATGTTTTACATGACGGTCCAGTCTCTTCCCAGCGTACGAACACCCAGCGATGGGACAGGGTTTGGTCCGAACATTTATCCTTCCACTGGCTATTTCAGGAGGATTCCCCTCTCCTCCAAGTTCCGCACTGCATGCTTGTGCTTAAGGTGTTTGTTCAATGCCAGATAGAAGAGTCTGCACACCGGGCATTCAGATGACATCCTTACTGAAACACACACAATTAATTTGATCAAAATGATGTTCTAGTTCTCCGTTTATATGCGTTAGCGTGATCGGTGGTTGCGACACTGGGTCCGATGCATCAATTCATGGTGCATGGACGAAGGGAAGTATTGGGTTACCACCGGGTTGGATGGTCCCACCTCCTACCAACGCGGGGCTGGTGATGGCAACATTGGGTCCGATGCATCAATACATGGTGCCCCGACCATGAGAGGGTTTGGGGTACCCCGGAACCAGGCACCACCCCAGCAGGAAATGGGTTGTATGGTCAAAGGAGGAAAGAGTGATAGAACCGGGGTAAAGCAAAGAAAGTGTCTGACAATAGTGACTTGTGAGGCGGCCAGAGAGTCTGTCATATCTCGGTCCTATCCTCCAGGCAACGCTGTGGCCAAAACTGGGTGAAAATGGGCTAAAAACAAAAAAAAAAAATATTTCATCTCGGGAAATTTGGGTGAAAATGAAAAAAAGTACCCGGAAATAGTGCCTCATGACCCCGCAGGAGTCCCCTGTCGACTCCCCTGGCTTTCCTCCATGGGCAAAATGATCAAACTCAACTTTTGTGAGAACCAGGAAAAGGGGTCAAAATGAAAAAATTGTACCCCAAAATAGTGCCTCATGACCCCGCAGGAGTCCCCTGTCGACTCCCATGGCTTTCCTCCATGGGCAAAATGATCAAACTAAACTTTTGTGAGAACCAGGAAAAGGGGTCAAAATGGAAAAATTGTACCCCAAAATAGTGCCTCATGACCCCGCAAGAGAGTCTGTCATCTCTCTGTCATATCCTCCAAGGTCACTAGAAGGGTCCAAGCCATCACCAGTCCGTGTTTAAATTGAGAAAATGTATCCCAAAATAGTGCATCAAATGCGGGTAGAGTCCCCTGTCGACTGCCCTTGCATTCCTCCAGGGTCACAATAATCAAACTCAACTTTTGTGAGAACCAGGCAAAAGGGGTCAAAATGAAAAAATGGTGTCCCAAAATAGTGCCTCAAATGCGGGTAGAGTCCCCTGTCGACTGCCCTTGCATTCCTCCATGTCAAACTTAAAGTATTTGGAGAACCAGGCTGGGGGGTCTCAAGGCATCAAATTCATCCGACCCAAAGTGCACTCTCATCGGATACATTCTTCCAAGATTTGCAACAGCCGTTTTTTTCTGAGTGCACCCAAAAACTGGGTTTCCGATTTCGTGCAGACGGTAGTCTGAAAAGTATGGATGAATCTTTTTGACAGAGAAGTGGAAATGAAGCCCAGGGACTTTTTCCCCTTCTCCGTTGTACCAACCATCGGAGAAGGGGAAAAATCGGCCTGAAGCGCCAATAGTCTGGCCCCTTCTCCCGTTGGCACTCTGTCATTTTTTTGACAATTTTTCAAAACTTCATTTTTGATTATTTTAAGTTATAATTAAGCGTTTTCTTCAATTTTTTTTGCTTTCCACGGGTGGGGGCGCCTGGCAGGCCGCCTATGAGCACCCAAATTCGGCCTGGATCATCCAGGATTTGTGGGCTAAGCTCCATAAACTGACTAAATCACCCAGAGAGGTCACCTTTCTAGCCCAAATATATATAATACAAATACATTTAAATAGTAAAAGGTGCACTTGTGCTCTGCATTACCCGGAATTTTATTTTCATAGCCCCATGATAGTGATTAAAAATCATTTTCATGGGAAAAAGTGTTAAAACGCCTGATTAAATTATATGCAGGACCCCAGTGAGCTCCAGACTATGTGCATTGTGTTGGGGAACCATATAAATGATAGAATAAATGCATTTAAATGCAAAAATAATGATTTTAAATCATTTTAGGGGGACAATTGTGGAGAGGAGCCTGAAAATGACTCTGCAGCACCCCGGATAACTACCAGTTCATCTGGTTTAAATGCGGTGGTGATAGTGGCATTAACTAGTACCCAGTACTGGGAGAGAACCAGGCTACAGCACATGTCTTTTCAACCCAGGAAATAGTGCTCAAAACGTGGGTAAAAGTGTGTTAAACAGTGGGGTAACATGTTTCAAATGACAGCACACTGCTGCTTGTTGGCAGGCTGACTCAGTTCACTTGTCTCATACACACCCAGGGGGGGAAAGATAACACTTGTACCCAGGAATAAGTGTTTGAAATGCGGGGAAAAGTTGTTTGAAATAGTATAATACCTCCAGGGCGCATAACTGCACTTTACAAGCCAGAAATAATGTTTAAATGGTCGGGGAAAGTATTTTTAAATGTCTGGAAGAGAGTTTTAGCCAGTCATTTTGCACGAAATCATTTAACATAGACGCTCTCCTGAAAATGCACAGAATATGTGCTTTTTCAGGAGACCGTCAATGTTAAATGATATCGTGCAAAATGACTGGCTAAAACCCCGGAATAAGTGTTTGAAAGGCGGGGAAAAGTTGTTTAAAATAGTCTGATACCTCCAGGGCGCATCAATAAAAAAATGTACAAGCCAGGGAAGATGCCTGAATCCCGGATACTTTAGGTCTGTCACTTAGGGTGACCGCACCACTCCGACGCTGCCGAGAGTGGACGTCCATTATTTGTAAGGCACCTAAGACAGATAAGGAGGACTTTTACAAAAAAGTAAGAGATTTTTGTCCAGAAGGATAGACAAATGGACTTCATCTTCAAGTCAAGGTAAGACCGCAATTTTATTGAAAATGGGATCTTACTAAGAGAGAACAATTCAATATTTAAATGATAAAATTACATTTGTTGGGTATCCTTTTGTTGAACTGTCTGTTTAAAATTAATCGAAGCATCAGACAAAAAAAGCTTTTGAAAATAATATTATATTTTGGTTTAGGTCAAAATATAATATTTGTAAACCTGAAGAGTCAGTGCCTCACCAGCCATGAACCTCACTGCACGTCACTGCAGAAGCTTATATATAGACATCTACGTTTTTTGTCCCCCACCACTTTTGTACATATAAAAACGCCACTGGAGACACTACTTACTGATATACACCTGAACATCAGCAGGAGAGGACTCTTTAAAGTAGAGACACTACATACTGATATACACCTGAACATCAGCAGGAGAGGACTCTTTAAAGTAGAGACACTACATACTGATATACACCTGAACATCAGCAGGAGAGGACTCTTTAAAGTAGAGACACTACATACTGATATACACCTGAACATCAGCAGGAGAGGACTCTTTAAAGTAGAGACACTACATACTGATATACACCTGAACATCAGCAGGAGAGGACTCTTTAAAGTGGAGACACTACATACTGATATACACCTGAACATCAGCAGGAGAGGACTCTTTAAAGTAGAGACACTACATACTGATATACACCTGAACATCAGCAGGAGAGGACTCTTTAAAGTAGAGACACTACATACTGATATACACCTGAACATCAGCAGGAGAGGACTCTTTAAAGTAGAGACACTACATACTGATATACACCTGAACATCAGCAGGAGAGGACTCTTTAAAGTGGAGACACTACATACTGATATACACCTGAACATCAGCAGGAGAGGACTCTTTAAAGTGGAGACACTACATACTGATACACACCTGAACATCAGCAGGAGAGGACTCTTTAAAGTAGAGGACACTACATACTGATATACACCTGAACATCAGCAGGAGAGGACTCTTTAAAGTAGAGACACTACATACTGATATACACCTGAACATCAGCAGGAGAGGACTCTTTAAAGTAGAGACACTACATACTGATATACACCTGAACATCAGCAGGAGAGGACTCTTTAAAGTAGAGAGGACTCTTTAAAGACCTCCTCTGAATCACTTATTTCACTCATTGAAAACACACAGACGTCTTGGTGTTTTTATCAGGTTTATAAAAAGGAAATACACAACGTCAGAAACACACGGTTTATCTGGTGGACAGATATGTTCAAGTAGTCTGAAGAAGACGAGGAGATGAAGGGACTTCCTCCGGTGGTCTTATGGCACTGTGAAAGCAGGAAGGAGTAACAGGACCTGAGAGACGCTGCAGGAAGCAGACCTGTGACTACGAGTGATTAGAAAAGAGAAGCCTTATCTTCACATTTCTAACTGTGTGTGATTTCCTTAAAATATTTCTACAAAATGTACATTCTGTCGCTGATACTCATGGTTAAACCCATAAAACTGTACACTTCTGTTCTCATGCTAACAGGGATTAACGGGATGACGATCAGAAATTAAATATGACATCAGAACAAAGAGGGATGGGAATCAGGGATATCTGCAGCATGGAGACGACCAACACGACCTCAGAGAAGCTAAACCTTATCCTGTCCTTATTTTCATTTATTAGAATAGTCTGGAGTTTTTTAAATAGCGGACAGAACAGTCTCAGCACTTAAACCACAGCAGAGCTACAGGTAATGGGTCTGAGGATCAGGTGTCCCTCTCCTGATCTGCAGCTGTTACAGAAACCTCCCGACGTTATTATTATAAAAATAGTTCACATTGGGTTAGGGTCTATATGTCCACACTGTTCCGTCGCATTGAAGCTTGCCGGTGGGCGTGTCTGGTGTGCGACCAACAACCAATCACATGAATCTCCCGCCCCGGACACACAAGCACGCGGTTTGATTGGCTAGCGATTGTACTGGCATATGATTTGATTGGCTGGCGCTTCCGTCAACGCTTGAAGCGAGCAACGGAGGCAAAGCGTGACGTCTCCCCATTCAAAGGGAATGGGAAGCGTCTCCGTTGAAGCACGTGTGGACGTACCGTAACTCTTTAACGGTGAACACAAACCCTTTGTGAATTTAAATCTATTTTAAAACACAGAATGAAGTTCAGTTTGATCGAAAGAAAATAATATTTTCAGTTTTTACAAAACACAAGTTTCTGTTTTACATAAAAGAGAATTATTTCATTAAAACAAGGATTCAAAAATATACTTTTAAATCTCTTTTGTTTTGATCAGAGTTTCAGATTATAGGGTTAGTCATGTTGGAACATTGGTTATTAAATGTTTCTCAGCTTTATTTGACTGCATCTGGTCCGAGGTCTTTTGTTCTGAAAGGACCTGCAGGTGAGGACCTGTGGAGGAACTGTGGAGGACCTGCAGGTGAGGATCTGTGGAGGACCTGTGGAGGACCTGTGGAGGACCTGTGGAGGACCTGCAGGTGAGGATCTGTGGAGGACCTGTGGAGGATCTGTGGAGGACCTGTGGAGGATCTGTGGAGGACCTGTGGAGGACCTGTGGAGGACCTGCAGGTGAGGATCTGTGGAGGACCTGTGGAGGACCTGCAGGTGAGGACCTGTGGAGGACCTGTGGAGGACCTGTGGAGGACCTGCAGGTGAGGATCTGTGGAGGACCTGTGGAGGACCTGCAGGTGAGGATCTGTGGAGGACCTGTGGAGGACCTGCAGGTGAGAACCTGTGGAGGACCTGTGGAGGACCTGCAGGTGAGGATCTGTGGAGGACCTGTGGAGGACCTGCAGGTGAGGACCTGTGGAGGACCTGTGGAGGACCTGCAGGTGAGGATCTGTGGAGGACCTGTGGAGGACCTGCAGGTGAGGATCTGTGGAGGACCTGTGGAGGACCTGTGGAGGACCTGTGGAGGACCTGTGGAGGATCTGTGGAGGATCTGTGGAGGACCTGTGGAGGATCTGTGGAGGACCTGTGGAGGACCTGTGGAGGACCTGTGGAGGATCTGTGGAGGATCTGTGGAGGACCTGTGGAGGATCTGTGGAGGACCTGTGGAGGACCTGTGGAGGACCTGTGGAGGATCTGTGGAGGACCTGTGGAGGACCTGTGGAGGACCTGTGGAGGACTCATGATCTCCAGATCAGGAACCCATAAGACCCGGGTCATAAATAAGAAGTCTCAGTGATTCCCATCCCTGATGAAGATGATGAAGAGGAGTTCTGGAGGTCTTCAGATGATCTGCAGGAAGCTCACAGGAAGCTGGCGGCTAACATAATAAAAGCCTCTCTGGAGGAGGAAACGGAATGAAGTCCAGGTGATAGACCCCCCCGTCCTGCAGGCTGACATGTGACCAGTCTCCGTCATGTGATCATAACAATAAAGATGTGAGGCTCCTGGGAGTCAGTGGGAGTCAGTGGGAGTAAAAACAGGAGAAGAAGAAACATTCTCCGTCTGCGGATCAGTCAGTCGTGAGCCTGGGAGCGTGCACGAGGGCCACGTGCACGAGGATCACTGTAAACACTGCAGGCCTTTGGGATGCACGTTATCCTGAGGGTGAGGTGTCTCCCCTCTGGAGGTGTGGCCCTCAGAGTCTGCAGTAACATGGGGCCCCCGATGCCCAGTGGCCCCCCTGGTTGCCTTGAGACCCTGGATGCCCACCTGGTGGTTCTGTGGCCCCCCTGGTGGCCCCCCCTGGGTTATTGCTGGTTGTGGCCCCCCTCACAGCCGGCCATGCTTCAGCCTCTCGATGTGGTGACACAGCTTCAGCGCGGGGCCCAGCTTCAGACCCATGTACTTCATGATCATGTCGCTGCGCAGCAGCAGCAGGGCCCGGCCGTCGATCTCCTGAAACATGAGAACTAGATTAGATCAATATCAGTTCAGATCAAGGCAAGGCAAGTTTATTTATACAGCACCTTTCAACACAAGGCAATTCAAAGTGCTTTACAAAAATGGAAGAAAATGGCATTTAAAATCAGTCATTAAAAAGAAAAGATAATAAAATAAACATTAAAAGAAAAAATACATGGATAAAAGTTACAGTGCAGTTTAAGATGTGAATAGTTCAATTAAAAGCAGCGGCAAAAAGAAAAGTCTTCAGCCTGGATTTAAAAGTAGTCAGAGTTGCAGCGGACCTGCAGGTTTCTGGGAGTTTGCTCCAGATGTTTGGAGCATAATAACTGAACTTCTCCATGTTTAGTTCTGACTCTGGGGACAGGAAGCTGACCAGTCCCTGAAGACCTGAGAGTTCTGGATGGTTCATCATTTTGTCAGTGAGGAACCAGTGTAAAGACTTCAGAACAGGACTGATCCACTTTCTTAGTGTCAGTGAGGAACCAGTGGAAAGACTTCAGAACTGGACTGATCCACTTTCTTAGTGTCAGTGAGGACTCGAGCAGCGGCGTTCTGAATTAGCTGCAGCTTTCTAATAGATTTTTTAGTGAGGCCTGTAAAGACACCATTACAGTAGTCGAGTCTACTGAAGATAAAAGCATGGACAAGTTTTTCCAAATCCTGCTGTGACATTAGTCCTTTAATCCTAGATATGTTCTTTAGGTGATAGTAGGCTGATTTAGTAACTGTTTTAATGTGACTGTTGAAACTCAGGTCAGAGTCCATGACTACACCTAGATTTCTGGCTGTATCTGTTGTTTTGAACATTGCAGACTGAAGCTCAGCGCTAACTTTTATACGTTCTGCCTTGGCTCCAAAAACCATTACCTCAGTTTTATCTTTGTTTAATTGGAGAAAGTTCTGACACATCCAGTCATTGATTTGTTCAATGCACTTACTCAGTGTTTGAATTGGAGCATAATCTCCTGGTGAAATTGTTACGTAAATTTGTGTGTCATCCGCATAGCTATGGTAACTTATTTAGTTGTTTTTCATTATCTGAGCCAGTGGTAGCATGTAGACGTTAAAGAGAAGAGGCCCCAAGATGGAGCCTTGAGGTACCCCACATGTCATATTTGTCAACTCAGATGTGTATTTACCTATAGAAATAAAGTTTTTTCTGTCCTTTAAGTAGGACTCAAACCAATTTAGAACTGTTGCCGAAAGTCCCACCCAGTTTTCTAGTCGGTCTAGTAATATGTTGTGGTCAACAGTGTCAAACGCAGCACTGAGATCTAATAATACTAACACTGAAGTTCTGCCACTGTCTGTGTTTAAGTGGATGTCATTGAAGACCTTTACAAGAGCAGTCTCAGTGCTGTGGTTTGGACGAAATCCTGACTGGAACACATCCAAACAGTTATTTAAATGCAAGAAGTTACTCAACTGTTGAAAAACAACTTTTTCAATGATTTTACCTAGAAATGGCAGAGTTTGAAATATATCTCAAATAATGCACCACCATTTCCCCACATGAACATAACCGTCTGCCGTGAGTGCAGAAGCTCTTATTGTGAAAGGAACTCATAACAGTCTGCCGTGAGTGCAGAAGCTCTTATTGTGAAAGGAACTCACGTGTTTCCTGAAGAGCTCGGCGTGGGGGGCTAACGCTGCCGGGTCGGCCTCCCTCACAAACTGCATCACCTCCTCGATGCTCCAGCAGGACGGATTCCTGCCGGGACCCTCAGAGACCCCCCCCACCTCGGGCCCCGTGGTGGAGCTGGCTGCTGGAGAACACACCGTGCATTAGAGGAGCTCTAACATCTGGAGCTATATACTGATAAGAGTCCCGATGCTCAGTGCACCCAAAGGACTCACACACACACAGCTGAGGAATCCACTGCTCACTGATTGGTTAATGAGCAGCCTGTAAGCAACGATAGCGCTGCTGGAAGGCCCATTTAGGCCCATTATGTATGTGCTGATGAGCCAATTGCTGAATAACTATGAATTATAATTATACAGTTTCTGTAACGTCTTGTTTTGCTTATGGACTGCTCTAGTTTGATGTTTTGTTATTATTTATAGAAAGCAGAATGCTCTTGAGTATACATGACACAGCAGGAAGTCTAGAGAGGAAGTCTGAAAAGGTTTAGACCGCACACATCCGTACGCCTGTTGGCTTGTTTGTTTATTTAATTTAAATGCCGTGCAAATGTTGTAAGTCGACAGTGGGCCGCCAGCTGATCAATTGAATCGAGTAAAGCACTTGAATGGAACGATGCAAGGTATTTGGATTTACACACGGCATCTATTGCACGTCTGTCCGTCCTGGGAGAGGGATCCCTCCTCTGTTGCTCTCCCTGAGGTTTCTCCCATGTTTCCTTTAAACTGTGGGGTTTCTCTGGAAGTGTTTCCTTGTACGATGTGAGGGTCTAAGGACAGAGGGTCTAAGGACAGAGGGTCTAAGGACAGAGGGTCTAAGGACAGAGGGGGTCGTATTGTCACTGATGTTCTGTACAAACTGTGAAGTCCACTGAGACAAATGTAACATTTGTGATATTGGGCTATATAAATAAACATTGATTGATTGATTGATTGATTGATTTGGATTTCTTTAAGTTTACGCGAGTCAATACTTGAATTCGCCTCATAGGCTAAGTGGACTTTGAACATTATATTATGCAAACTCGACCACGACAGCTGCTAACTAGCTAACAGCGGCGAGGGTCACTTCTTGTGAGGTCACTTCCTGTGAGGATCTACGCCTGACCCCCCCACCCTGAGACATTAGATGTTTTATATATCACATGCGTACCTTCCACCTGTCGGAGGGGCTGCTTGGCCCCCGGCTCTGAGGGGGGGGAGGCGAGGCGTCGGGGGGTGCTGCCGGGGTGGGGGGGGCGGGGGGTAACGGAGGCCGAGTCCATGAAGCGCTGATCCTTCATCAGAGTGCTGTCTTCATGTGTCTCTGCTGGGGGGGGACATTCAAATGATTCATATTTCAATACTCTGTAATAGTCTCTAATATATACTCTAATAGTCTCTAATAGATACTCTAGATACTCTAATAGTCTCTAATAGATACTCTAATAGATACTCTAATAGATACTCTAATAGTCTCTAATAGATACTCTAATAGATACTCTAATAGATACTCTAATAGTCTCTAATAGATACTCTAATAGATACTCTAATAGATACTCTAATAGTCTCCAATAGATACTCCAATAGATACTCTAATAGATACTCTAATAGATACTCTAGATACTCTAATAGTCTCTAATAGATACTCTAATATATACTCTAATAGATACTCTAATATATACTCTAATAGATACTCTAATAGTCTCTAATAGATACTCTAATATATACTCTAATAGATACTCTAATAGTCTCCAATAGATACTCTAATAGTCTCTAATAGATACTCTAATAGTCTCTAATAGATACTCTAATAGTCTCCAATAGATACTCTAATAGTCTCTAATAGATACTCTAATAGTCTCCAATAGATACTCTAATAGTCTCTAATAGATACTCTAATATATACTCTAATAGATACTCTAATAGTCTCTAATAGATACTCTAATATATACTCTAATAGATACTCTAATAGTCTCTAATAGATACTCTAATAGATACACACTAATAGATACTCTAATAGATACTCTAATAGTCTCTAATAGATACTCTAATATATACTCTAATAGATACTCTAATAGTCTCTAATAGACACTCTAATAGATACACTAATAGATACACTAATATATACTCTAATAGATACTCTAATAGATACACTAATAGATACTCTAATAGATACTCTAATAGATACTCTAATAGATACTCTAATATATACTCTAATAGATACTCTAATAGATACACTAATAGATACTCTAATAGATACACTAATAGATACTCTAATAGATACTCTAATAGATACTCTAATATATACTCTAATAGATACTCTAATATATACTCTAATAGATACTCTAATAGTCTCTAATATATACTCTTATAGATACTCTAATAGATACTCTAATAGATACTCTAATAGTCTCTAATAGATACTCTAATAGATACTCTAATAGATACTCTAATAGTCTCTAATAGATACTCTAATAGATACTCTAATAGTCTATAATAGATACTCTAATAGATACTCTAATAGATACTGTTATAGTCTCTAATAGATACTCTAATAGATACACTAATAGATACTCTAATAGATACTCTAATAGATACTCTAATAGATACACTAATAGATACTCTAATAGATACTCTAATAGTCTCCAATAGTCTGTAATAGTATCTAATATTAATTAGCACCTTGGGATTGCTGTTAGCAATGAAAGGTGCTTTATAAATTGAATGTATTATTATTATTATTATTATTAATAGTCTCTAATAGTCTCTTACAGTTTGTAATAGTTTGTAATAGTCTGTAATAGTCTCTAATAGTCTCTAATAGTCTGTAATAGTCTGTAATAGTCTCTAATAGTCTCTAATAGTCTCTTAAAGTTTGTAATAGTCTCTAATAGTCTCTAATAGTCTCTTACAGTTTGTAATAGTCTGTAATAGTCTATAATAGTCTGTAATAGTCTCTAATAGTCTCTAATAGTATCTAATAGTCTCTAATAGTCTCTTACAGTTTGTAATAGTCTGTAATAGTCTCTAATAGTCTGTAATAGTCTATAATAGTCTCTAATAGTCTCTTACAGTTTGTAATAGTCTGTAATAGTCTCTAATAGTCTGTAATAGTCTGTAATAGTCTGTAATAGTCTGTAATAGTCTATAATAGTCTCTAATAGTCTATAATAGTCTCTAATAGTCTATAATAGTCTATAATAGTCTCTTACAGTTTATAATAGTCTGTAATAGTCTATAATAGTCTGTAATAGTATCTAATAGTCTCTAATAGTCTCTTACAGTTTGTAATAGTCTGTAATAGTCTCTAATAGTCTGTAATAGTCTATAATAGTCTCTAATAGTCTCTAATAGTCTCTTACAGTTTGTAATAGTCTGTAATAGTCTGTAATAGTCTGTAATAGTCTATAATAGTCTATAATAGTCTGTAATAGTCTGTAATAGTCTCTAATAGTCTGTAATAGTCTGTAATAGTCTCTAATAGTCTGTAATAGTCTGTAATAGTCTGTAATAGTCTATAATAGTCTATAATAGTCTGTAATAGTCTCTAATAGTCTATAATAGTCTATAATAGTCTCTTACAGTTTATAATAGTCTCTAATAGTCTGTAATAGTCTATAATAGTATCTAATAGTCTATAATAGTCTCTTACAGTTTGTAATAGTCTGTAATAGTCTCTAATAGTCTGTAATAGTCTGTAATAGTCTCTAATAGTCTGTAATAGTCTGTAATAGTCTATAATAGTCTCTAATAGTCTATAATAGTCTCTAATAGTCTCTTACAGTTTATAATAGTCTCTAATAGTCTCTAATAGTCTCTTACAGTTTGTAATAGTCTGTAATAGTCTATAATAGTCTATAATAGTCTGTAATAGTCTCTAATAGTCTATAATAGTCTATAATAGTCTCTTACAGTTTGTAATAGTCTGTAATAGTCTGTAATAGTCTGTAATAGTCTATAATAGTCTCTAATAGTCTCTTACAGTTTATAATAGTCTCTAATAGTCTGTAATAGTCTATAATAGTCTCTAATAGTCTATAATAGTCTCTAATAGTCTCTTACAGTTTATAATAGTCTCTAATAGTCTCTAATAGTCTCTAATAGTCTCTTACAGTTTGTAATAGTCTGTAATAGTCTATAATAGTCTATAATAGTCTGTAATAGTCTCTAATAGTCTATAATAGTCTATAATAGTCTCTTACAGTTTATAATAGTCTCTAATAGTCTCTAATAGTCTGTAATAGTCTATAATAGTCTCTAATAGTCACTAATAGTCTCTTACAGTTTGTAATAGTCTGTAATAGTCTCTAATAGTCTGTAATAGTCTGTAATAGTCTGTAATAGTCTAATAGTCTATAATAGTCTCTAATAGTCTATAATAGACTATAATAGTCTCTTACAGTTTATAATAGTCTATAATAGTCTGTAATAGTCTGTAATAGTTTGTAATAGTCTGTAATAGTCTCTAATAGTCTGTAATAGTCTCTAATAGTCTCTAATAGTCTGTAATAGTCTGTAATAGTCTATAATAGTCTCTAATAGTCTGTAATAGTCTGTAATAGTCTCTAATAGTCTGTAATAGTCTATAATAGTCTGTAATAGTCTATAATAGTCTGTAATAGTCTGTAATAGTCTGTAATAGTCTCTAATAGTCTCTAATAGTCTGTAATAGTCTGTAATAGTCTGTAATAGTCTATAATAGTCTCTAATAGTCTGTAATAGTCTGTAATAGTCTGTAATAGTCTGTAATAGTCTCTAATAGTCTGTAATAGTCTCTAATAGTCTATAATAGTCTCTAATAGTCTCTAATAGTCTGTAATAGTCTATAATAGTCTATAATAGTCTGTAATAGTCTGTAATAGTCTGTAATAGTCTGTAATAGTCTGTAATAGTCTATAATAGTCTGTAATAGTCTGTAATAGTCTGTAATAGTCTCTAATAGTCTCTAATAGTCTGTAATAGTCTCTAATAGTCTCTAATAGTCTGTAATAGTCTATAATAGTCTATAATAGTCTCTAATAGTCTGTAATAGTCTCTAATAGTCTCTAATAGTCTGTAATAGTCTCTAATAGTCTGTAATAGTCTGTAATAGTCTCTAATAGTCTGTAATAGTCTGTAATAGTCTATAATAGTCTCTAATAGTCTCTAATAGTTTCTAATAGTCTGTAATAGTCTGTAATAGTCTATAATAGTCTATAATAGTCTGTAATAGTCTCTAATAGTCTATAATAGTCTCTTACAGTTTATAATAGTCTGTAATAGTCTCTAATAGTCTGTAATAGTCTATACTAGTCTGTAATAGTCTGTAATAGTCTATAATAGTCTATAATAGTCTGTAATAGTCTATAATAGTCTCTAATAGTCTGTAATAGTCTGTAATAGTCTCTAATAGTCTCTAATAGTCTGTAATAGTCTATAATAGTCTGTAATAGTCTCTAATAGTCTGTAATAGTCTATAATAGTCTGTAATAGTCTGTAATAGTCTGTAATAGTCTGTAATAGTCTGTAATAGTCTATAATAGTCTGTAATAGTCTGTAATAGTCTATAATAGTCTCTAATAGTCTCTAATAGTCTGTAATAGTCTGTAATAGTCTGTAATAGTCTGTAATAGTCTATAATAGTCTGTAATAGTCTGTAATAGTCTGTAATAGTCTCTAATAGTCTGTAATAGTCTGTAATAGTCTGTAATAGTCTGTAATAGTCTATAATAGTCTCTAATAGTCTGTAATAGTCTGTAATAGTCTGTAATAGTCTATAATAGTCTCTAATAGTCTGTAATAGTCTGTAATAGTCTCTAATAGTCTGTAATAGTCTGTAATAGTCTCTAATAGTCTCTAATAGTCTGTAATAGTCTATAATAGTCTGTAATAGTCTGTAATAGTCTGTAATAGTCTCTAATAGTCTGTAATAGTCTGTAATAGTCTATAATAGTCTGTAATAGTCTGTAATAGTCTGTAATAGTCTGTAATAGTCTGTAATAGTCTATAATAGTCTCTAATAGTCTGTAATAGTCTGTAATAGTCTCTAATAGTCTGTAATAGTCTCTAATAGTCTATAATAGTCTCTAATAGTCTGTAATAGTCTATAATAGTCTCTAATAGTCTCTAATAGTCTGTAATAGTCTGTAATAGTCTGTAATAGTCTCTAATAGTCTGTAATAGTCTGTAATAGTCTCTAATAGTCTGTAATAGTCTGTAATAGTCTGTAATAGTCTGTAATAGTCTATAATAGTCTCTAATAGTCTGTAATAGTCTGTAATAGTCTCTAATAGTCTGTAATAGTCTGTAATAGTCTCTAATAGTCTCTAATAGTCTATAATAGTCTCT